CCTGGCTCCTCTTGGATCTGCAGCCAGGGGGAGCTAGAGCCCAGGGCCAGCACCTGTGCTGTCCCCAGCAGTATAAAAAGCTGCCCTGTCCTGGCCCCAGCAGTACAAAAAGCTGCCCTGTCAAGGAGCTCAGGGCTACTCACTCTCAGGAGCTTCTGAGACCCAGCCAATTGGTACCTGGGGATACTACCCCTTGTGCCAGCTGGACTGCTGAAGCAGCCCTGTGAGGTCCCTGCACCCTTTACCCACAGCAGCAGTCTGGCAGTGGGGGAGTCTGCCTGGCTGTGACCAGCTGCACACCTGCTAGACAAGGATGGGGACTGCACAGTTAGTAGAGGCATCTGCCCCTCTGGGCCAGCTGCCAGTTGGCTGTGGCTGCAGAGTTGGCCTCTGTGCGGCACTACTGCCACGTGTGCCCCCTGCCCAGCCATTTGGGCAGCTATCACCCGGAAGATGTTCCCAGTGTGGTGGCCTGCTTTGAATTGACCAGGAAGTCAGCTACCTCCAGCTGGGACCAAGATGCCAGCTCTGAGAAGGCTCCTCTGCCTGGATCCTCGCACTTGCCTCCTTAGCAGGAATTCTGGTGTTCCCTATTTGAAAACTAAAAAATTTCTGATAAAAAAAAAATCTCCAAATCACTTTGCTAAATACACCTAAATCCATGTTCCTCCACAATTAAAACAGAAGACCACTATATAGAGAAAGAAAGAGAGAGAGAGAGAGAGAGAGACAGCAATCAGTTGGGCAATGGTTTATTGAGATATCTACAGTGTTAAAGCAATTTGGAAGCCTACTAGTGTCTCTATCATCATAATAAAATGAATTCTAAATACCTATATATGTTTTGCTCTTTGCCTTTGGTTTTCTTACCACAGAGCAGTTAAAGCTTCCACGACCCCTTCACTAACCAAGATGTGGGGACAGCTGCCCCTGCAGCCACAGCTCCTGCCAGCAGGTTTCATCCTGTCTGGCAGCTGGGCATGCAGGATGTGTGCTGGGGAGGATGTGGGGTTTGCAGGAGGGGGGTTGGGAAGGGGGGGGAAGGGGGATGTGGGTGGCTGTGGAGAGATGTGGGGGGCCATGGAAGGTGCGTGTACGTGTGGGTAAGTTGTACAGGGGGCTGCTAAGGAGGGCTGAGTCCCCTACCTCCACAGGGAGCACAGCTCACGAACTGCCCTGTACAGGGACTACAGGCCCCCCAACAGGGGCCACATGGCCCCTGTAGGGGCTGCTACCCTCCCCCTTCCACAGGGCCCACATGCCCCATCTCTGCTTGCTCCCCCAGCCCCTCGATTGCTGCCCCACTTGGCTGCACCCCCCACCTGCTGCCCGCCCAATGGCTGTCCCACCCCACCACCCACTCCCCGGGATACCCCAAATGGCTGCTCCACCCAGCCCCAGCCTCTGCTTGCAGCCCCAGCCCTCCCAATGGCTGCCCCACCCAGCCTCAGCCTCCCAGCACTTTTTTAAAGTCCCGTACTCACTGGCAGTAGAAGCTGCCATCGGGGTCACTGGGGCTTGTGGCAGAGCCTCCTGCATAGCACAGGGCAGTGGGAGGCAACAGAGACCGGCCACAGCTGACTGGCACTCACACTGCCACTGCCCCATTGCACAGCTATCACCTGGGCCCTGTGCTGTGCAGGGGGAGCTCTGCCATGAGGCCCCGGTGACCCTGACAGCAGCTGCTACTTTTGGTTTTTGGCTTTTTGGTTTTGTTTTGTGCGGTTTTTTGTTTTTTGTTTTGTTGTTGTTGTTGTTTTTGTTTGTTTTTGTTTTTTGTTTTTTTTTAAATTGCTGGGCTGCTGGGACTGGACGGGGTAGGAATCAGGGGCTCAGGGGGCAGGCAGGGGATGGGCCAGGGTGGGGCAGCAATCGGAGGGGCCTGGGGGCGGTGCTGGCAGAGCGAATAGCATGCTTCAGCACCAAGTCGAGGGCCAGCCATAGAGATGTTCTGGCCAGCTACCAGAGCATCTTTGTGGAGGCCTAAGCCTCCGGCTGCCTCAGGGCATGGCTCTCCCCACCCCCTCAGTGTTTTTTTCTTTTTTGACCCCTGGATATCCAGGGGTCTAATTTTGCCCCCACACTGCCAATTTTTTTGTTTCTGCACATGCTTCTTGCAGCGTCTTAAAGGGCTTTGAGGCACTGAAAGCCCACGCTGAAAGAGGGGGCAACAGAGGAAGTCAAGGTGAACTGTTTGGGGCCCTATCTGGTGATGTTTAGCAGACAGTTAAGGCTGGTGAAGAAACAGGAATAACTGGAAATGGGAAAGAAAGGTATTACTCAGCTGTGGGAGTGAAGAGGAAGTCCAAATGTATTCAGTGTAGTGTCTCACCATGATTTGAAAAAAGAGTTGGTGCCAAGGGGAATTTTCCTTTATGCTGATTGGAGGGGAAAAAAACCCCTTTGTTTTGCATTTCAGTAAATACAGCATTATTTATGAAGTGCCTGTTAGTGACAGAAATGCATCTCTGAAAGAAAAGGTACTTGTTTATATCTTGTTGCTCCTGCCTTTGTTTCAAGGTAATTTGCATCATCACAAATACTCACAGGAGGTGAGAGGCTCCATACCAGCTATGAACTGACTGCCCAGAGGACTTTTCCATCTACTGACTCTGTAAAATCCTATGAAATATGAACGTTCATTTCTATCCAGGAGAACTTTTACAACCTTTTTGCCAATGCCTGATGAAGGGCATTTGTGCTCAAAAGCTTGCAATGAAAGACATTTTTTTGCAGAAATCTTGGTCTAATAAAAGATATAATCTCTACTATGAGTCCTGATTGCCTTTTGTTGACAAGGCACTTTAGGCATCAGATTGATACATTCTGCCACACTATGGCTTATACCTGGGGACAAGCTCACATCTGTCCCTCCTCAAAAGAAGCCCATTGTAACAGTTATTGAAATACGACAGAAAGGCTCCTCCCTCCCCCACCAACCAAACTGGAGTCTCCTGATCATATTACTCCATCAAGCAGTCCACCTTTAGCTCAACATGCGTTAAGTAATACCACCTGGAGATGCTCCTGGGTGGAAGAAAGCACAACTTTGCTACACACGCATAACTTTTGGTGCGTGCCTTACAGCTTTAACACTAGGACACTAGCATTGTAAATGCTATTAGCACAGAGGTTGGCTATTAGTTCAGCTGGGTGGCCACTTAATGAGTTTTTGTGTGTGTGGCCCTCAACAGGTCACCAAGTCTCTCAGAAGATATCATTTTAACAAAATATAGATAAAACACAAAGCATATACTAAAAATCAAAAATCTACTATAACATACTTCAATTTTATTTCAAAAAATATTTTTGTCCTGATTTATTTTTTTTGAGTAGTATAAATGTGATTGCATAATAGCTCCAAATAAAGTCTTACTCTTGTATATTG